TATTTAAGTCTAGTATAATTGCTTTTCAGCCCAGGGCATCTCAGATTCAATTCCTGGATTTGCTCCTGGTGAAATCATTAATATATACACAATGTGATTACATATACATGCATGCTAAAGGCAGTGAATAATAATCAGATAATAATATTTCAATTCTCAAAAACCACTTAAGTGGCTAATGGAGTGCTTGCAATAGCTTAAAAATAGCTTAAAAAGGGTTTCTCGACTTTTGGCTTAAAAAGCTAAAATTAGTGTTTTCATATGACAACTTCTACTTAAAAAAGCGTTTCTCGGCTTTCATGTGAAAAGTGATTTTTACTTTTTCTATTACACAAAAAGCACTTATTTTAGCAAACACTACCAACTTTTACTTTTCAAAATCACTATTTTCTCAAATACTATCAACTTTTACTACTAATCACTTTTTCCAAAATGACTTTAAAACGTGTTTTTTTAATCAAAAGCAGTTGCAAACACTCCCTAAGAGCGTACGAATAGACCAAAGTACTCCGACTATAGTACATTTTTATTATTCTTTAATAGTTTTTTTTGGAAGAGGGAGGCTTAAATTGATTTTAAAGCATTAGCATTCAGAAAGGGAGTAAAAAGTAAGGAACCACATACAACCGTCAGCCCGCGAACCAGAAATATAACTCGTTGATCCATTAATGGGCAAACCTGAGCCGCACACGATTGAAGCAGACCAAACTCCACCCAATCTTAATGCAAGAGTCTTACAATTGAAAGAAACATTAACAAAATAAAACATAGTTTGATTAACAGCAACAATAATAAAATTAGTAGTAAAATAAATATTATTATTCTTCATCGCCATGAGCACCTCCACCGAAACCTCTCTTGAGCTTTTCAGCCATCCAACGCAAACCAGCGGACCTACAAGAGGTCCGCCTCCACTCCATTTTTTTTGTTTGTCCATTGTCATGCCTTCCCCTGTACCAGCGCCTTGTTTCTCTTCTTCCTAGGTCCTTCTACAGTTTCGTTCCCCCGAGGTCTCCTCTGGGGTAACTGAGTCCCCTTCCTTGATGGAGCTAGTTCCAGTGCCTGTATTCTCTTTCCAGTCCTGCCTATCATTATCCTGCCCGTCGGACATCCCCACCACAGTACTGGAGGACCCTTCAACCAACCACTTAGTACCTCCTGTAGGGGCTAGTCTTCACCCCAGTCCGAGCTCTATGATACACTCCATAATTTTTTTTTATCAAAAGTGATATTCTCCCCCTCATAAACTACCGGGCAAAACTTATCAGAATGCCCAATAATATCACAAAAAAAACAGAAATTTGGAAGTTTTTCATACTTAAAATCCACATTTTGGCTAAAACTCACCTTTTTCAATGTAGTACCTTTTTTGAGATGTCTCCTAACATCCATACGAACTCTAATCCTCAAGTATGACTTCCAGTTTTCATCAGATTTTCAATCATCAAAACTAATGAATTTTCCAATATAATTACCAATACGTCAAGCAGACCCCAGATTCATAAAACCATAAGCAGCATTGTGCTGCACCCAAAAATCGGCCTCATATAGCCTAATTTGTAGAGGAATATCATTTGCCTGAATCTCTTTTAGCAACAACAGATTTCGTTCAAACAATCACGGACCTTCGTTTAGAACATGATAGGGCTATGTCCGAAAAACCGAAAACCGAAACCCGAATCAAATTAAACCGAATCGCGACCAAATAAAACCGAACCGCTAAAAACCGAAACCAAATGTAAAAAACCGAACCGAACCATAGTAGTTTGGTTCGGTTTTGGTTTTTACACTTCAAAACCGAACCGAACCGAACAAACCGAACAAAAATAAAATATGAAATTTTATTTGTTAAATGTAAGCATTAATCTTAATATCATCAATAATCTTTGAATTTCTTGTGCTAGAGAAATAATGTTGGTGTTATGTTTAGTTTAGTTTATAAATGCATTTACACATTCATTGCCCATAATAATGTAGCTATATTGATTAATTATGTCTTTTATGTATGTATGTATGTTGCAATTTGTTGCATGATTATATGTTTTTACTGGTTTTTAGTAGTAATTAACTTTTATTTTTATGTAACTTAATTTTTTTTTGTAACCTAAATTTTTTATTTTGATAAAACAAATAAATATTCATCTCAGCTATATCACATAGGACGTATGTATTCATAAATGTTTTTCAAACTAGTCACAAACAATGTAAATTAAGAATAAATACACACTTTTATCTCTACCGCATACTCATATAATTCAAGACATATTTGTTTTATTATTATTTTCTTTATTTGTTCAAGTATGCTTGCATTTTTATGTAATACTACGTATGCTTGATCCCTCCACCTTTTATATCAATTTTAAATCAAATGACAAATTTTTAGTAAAAAGCCGAAACCGAATCGAAACAAACCGAACCAATCAAACCGTGGTTCCAAGTTTTGGAGTGTAAAACCGAACCGAACTTTTACTTTGGTTCCGTATTTGGTTTTAGGTCAAAATCGAACCGAAAGAATCGAACCCACCCCTAGAACACGCGTCATATCTAATATGTGATAAAAAGTAAAGATATACCTTTTATCGCTGATTTCCTGGATTAAAACTTCTTTAATGGGTCTCTAGAGCGAGACCATCAATTCTTTGAAAATAGAAAATAGAAAATGGTTAGACCAAAGTATATTTTAAATGGACTAATTTGGGTAAACTGTCAAATGAGTCCATGTACTATCTTGTAAAAGTCAATTGAGTCCATGTATAATTTTATCAATCAATTGGGTCTCAAATTTTAACCAATTTTGTCATTTGACCAGTAAACAACCGGTGACCCTTTTTATTGCTGATGTGGATGCCACTTAAGTTTTTTTTATTTTTTTTTCCTTTTTTCCCTTTTCTTTTTCCCTTTTAATTTAATTTCTTGAGTTTCTTCTTCGTTTCTTTTTCCTCTGGTTCGTCGTCCCCCCCCTATTCATCTGCGGCCTGCAACTCCGAGTCTCCCACCTTCCTAATTCCCTTTTTTTCTTTTTTCCCCTTCTTCTCCAATCTTCCTGCAACTCCTTCTCCCCTATTTTTCAATCTCTTTTCTTCTCCACTGCTTCTACCCCACGCCCCCACCCAATTCAATCCCCTCCCTTCATTCTTGCAATCTTGCCCACCCCCTTCTCCTTTCTCTTTTCTTTCTTTTTCCTCTTCTCCACTCCACTCAACCTTATATCCCCATTCTTCCATGCCCAGAGAACCCGACGAAAACCCGACGAAACCCCTTGCTCTTCTTCGATGGCATACGGTGACGGAGAAGGTGGCGGCAGAGCTCGACGCCGATGGTGATGACGGCAGAAGAGATCGACACCGATGGTGACTGTGGCGGCAGATCTCGACGGGGTCGGCGGTGGCAGAGGTCAACGGCGGTAGAAAGATGGAGAAGTAGAGAAGGGAAGAAGCAAGAAAAAATAGAGGAGAATACAGAAAGAAATGGAAGAAGGAAGAGACGAAGAGAATAAGAAAAGAAGAAATCTATCTATTCTTAATATAAAAGGAAAAGATTTTTGTGAATAGTACTCCCTCCCAAAAGTGTCAACATCAAGGTGGGGTAAAAAAACTTATTTACAACATGTAAAAATTATACAAGCTTGGGGTAAAATGTTAAAAATCTAAAATCTTTGAGCTGATTTGCTCGGTTGTATTGGATTGCTGGGTGGTGGGAATAGTTGGTGGGAATACTTTTTTCCTATTGGCTAATGTGGGTGGTGGAATAGTGCTTAATAAAATTCTATTGGTTGGGGTGGTGGCAAGAATAGTGACCAATGAAATTTCATTGGTTGGTGGGGTGGCTGGAATAGTAGCTTTGATTTTTTCCAGATTTTCTAGCTCACTTTCGTTTGGTTGGAGATGAACTAGCAAATGTAACTAGATCTTGAATCTCCCCTATAAAAGACCCCTGCCCGGAAACCTTCTTCCCACCCCAAGCAATTACAGCTTATATATTCAAGTTAAGTTAAATATCTTTTGACAATGGTGGGAATGTGGTCAATGATCTGTCAGATAGACCAAACCAAGACGACATGGGCAATCAAGGCAAGGGCCGCAAGGGTCTATTTCAGAGGCGGCAGTATCCTTGACACCATCAGATGCAACTTTGCCTTTCAAATTTCAGAGGCGGCAGTATCCTATTATGCCTTCATATGCAATGACAATAAATAAGAGCCAGGGTCAGTCTTTGTCGCGTGTCGGGTTGTTGCTTAAAAAACCTGTGTTTACCCATGGACAGTTGTATGTTGCAATATCAAGGGTGACCAATCGATCCGGCTTGAAGATTCTAATTGTAGATGATCATGGAAGAACCACAGACAAAACACAAAATGTTGTGTTCAAAGAAGTGTTTAACAATGTTTAGATTTAATTTGAAGGGATATATTTACAGCATTTGGGTTTAGACGTTGTTGTGTAATCGATTTGGACTTTGAATTATGTTGTGGACTCCCATCACAGTCATTATATTATTAGTTTCGTCAATATATTCCGATGATATGTATTTGCATCATATGCACAGATCTGTTTGTCAATTAATATGGGTTGTCAAACATCCAACACATGAAAATCTAAAAAAAATAGATTCATGCCGTGCATCGCACGGGTATGATACTAGTGGGGAAGAAAGACGAAGGGATGCAGGAAACAACAGAAGAAAGCTTCTTTTTTTAAAAGCAAAAGGAGTCTCTAATGCCACATGGACTGCAAAATCATCGCTTACAAGGAAAAAAGCCACGTGGATGATCCACGTAGGCAGATTACCAAGGAAACCGGTCAATCATCAGGTAAAAGGCAAATTTGGTCATTTTTTGTAATTTGGTAGACTTAATTGGTTGAAAAAATAGTATGTGGAGTCGATTGACTTTTTCGAAATAATTGATGGACTGATTTGATAGTTTTTCCGACTAATTTTTATCAAAATTTGACACATTCAATCAATTTTGTCACTTTAAATAAAATTTCACTGCGTCGAAGCTAACGACCTTGCGGGCTCTGCAACTTTCGTTCATTCATACTCCGTATGTGCCAGCATTTCTTCTCCCGCCAAACACAATCCTCAGCAACTCAACCCCATTCTCTCTCACTCTCTCTTCAACCATAGCGAATTGCATTTCTATGTTCAGCAAACATGGATGCTCGGAATCCGCGTCGCCTGAAACGAGGCCAGATGTCTAGAGCTACCGCGACCCTGAGACCGCCATTTTCGGACATCTCCAACTTTACTACAACTACCGACTACGGTCCCTCCTCAGCGGGGTCCTACTTCTTCAATGACTCACCTGATTCAAAATCCCATACCAGTAGTGTAGCTTCCACTTCCGTCCTAAATCGGAGCAACACAAAGCTCAGTTTCTCAGCCCCCTCTCGTTCTTCCCGCAGCACTTCAGGTAACCTCTCTTCACACATCCGTTTCTATATTGTGAAAGTATGCCTAGAATCGTGTTTACAAATGTTATTTTGGGTCATTGGGAATGAACAAATGTTTAGGTGTTTATCTCTATGTAACTATGTTGAACAAGACTAGCGAAATGGATAAACTCAGAAATCGAAGTGTATTGTTGAATTTGTGAATCAATACTGGTAGAATTGAAAGATTGAACAATGAAGAATATGAACTCATGTAATTGGGAATTAGGGTTCTGAGCAGTAAGGTGATGAATGAATACGTATGTGCAAAATGAATTATAAGGGAGTATATATTCATGGGTGTAATAGAGAATAATAAAATCTGCACAATGATCCTTCAAGTCTTGTAGCTTTTAATATTTAACCAGCTTTCTTCCTTCATCTGCAATTTCTGCATCATTTTTATAATATTTGCATAGATGAACATGTAACTTGAATAAGTTTAATATCTGCATCCTTTAATATTTAACCAGCTTTATTGAAGAGAGGATTGCCCAATGCTTTTGTATAGATATCTGCAAGTTGAAGTGGATTAGTAATATGAATAAGTTTAATCAAACTGGTATTACTTTTTTCTCTAATAATATGACAATCTATTTCTATATGTTTAGTTCTTTGGTGTTGAACTGGATTGTAGGCAAGATGATAAGTAGATAGATTGTCAGTATACAAATTGATTGGTGAGAAATTGAAAATCTGTAAATCTTGAACTATGAAATATAACCATTGAGCTTCACAAACTACAGTAGCAGTTGCTCTATACTCAGCTTCTGTAGAGAATCTGCTTACCACGGTTTGCTTTTTTTATTTCCAAGACATAAGAGAATTACCTAGATAGAAACAGTAACCTGAAATACTTCTTCTTGTGTCCACACCCTGCCCAATCTGAATCAGTATATCCTTCAAGTTTAAAATCAGAAATAGAAGAATAGAAAAGGCCTTTACCAGGTGTTCTTTTGAGATATCTTAATGCCCTATAAGCAGCACTTAAATGTATGTTAGTTGGTTTAGATAAGAACTGACTTAGAGTTTGAATACTATAAGTTATATCAGGCCTAGTGACAGTAAGATAAAGTAATCTACCTATTAAAGTACTATATATTTTAGGATGAAAGAGGAATCCATTGGAGTAATAGCAGGTTTGGAAGCTAAAAAAGCAGTGCCAAAAAGTATGTCAAGATTATATTTCCTTTGAGAAATACAAATATGAAATACCTTTTTCTGATCTAGCAACTTCAAGTCTTCAATACCCAGAATGTACCTGAGTTCACCAATATCCTGTAATGTGAATTTGTGATTCAAATAAGATTTAAATTATTCAATTTCAGCTAAGTCTTTACCTGCAAGAATAATGTCATCAACATACAATAATTGTACAATCATAGAATTATTATTTATTTTAATGAAAAGTGAAAAATCAGCTTGTGACTGTTTGTAACCAAAAATTTTCAGAGATTCAGAAATTTTACAATACCACTGTCTAGAAGCTTGGTTTGAACCATATAAACTCTTTAACAGTTTGAATACTTGTTTTAAATCGTAGCCAGAGTACTGATCCTCTCTAAATCAATCTCTTCTTCAAAATCGATCTCTCTTAATCGAACTTTTCTTAATCGATTCCTGAAATCGATCTTCCAATTTTCTGCTCTGATACCATGTTGAATTTGTGAATCAATACTGGTAGAATTGAAAGATTAAACAATGAAGAAGATGAACTCTAGTAATTGGGAATTAGGGTTCTGAGTATCTGAGAAGTAAGATGCTTAATGAATATGTATGTGCAAAATGAATTATAAGGTAGTTTATATACAGGGGAGTAAAAGAGAATAATAATATTTGTAGAATGATACTTCAAGTCTTGTAGCTTTTAATATTTAATCATCTTCTTCCTTTATGTCATCTGCATCCTTTTTATAAGTTTGCTATGTATAAACTCTCAATTTACATTCACACTTGTACACAATAATTAAGGAACGAAGAAGATAAATTCTCTCAAATGGATGCTTATTTTTTTTCAGATTGATTCTTTGCAAATAGAAAATACGCCAATAAATAGGCTACGTAAATAAATCTAGCTAACTAAAATTTAGAGATAAGAAAAAATAGAAACCACAAGAGAAAACCAAACTTCTAACTAAAGAATCTAAATTGTCGCAGTAAGACTTGGTCTAACTTGACCATGCTTTAGTGTTGTATTTTTAACACTCTACTTGTTTATTTGCTATTTCAGATTTGCAAATGTATATAAGTGGGTGGTAATATGTAGTTATGCTCAGAGTAAATATGCTTTGTTGTGGATATGATATTCTGTGTACTGGATGGATTATCAAAGGGTTTGTGAACGAATAAAAAATTTCACTGTTCAGAAAATTGTAGTTCTGTCTTTATATTGTTAATTCCCGTAGCACTAATTTCATGCCCATGTCAATATGATTTGTAACCCCTTTTTTCAGTTATGTCAGAAGAGTCGGCATTATCCACGACTGGTCCCAGTAAAAGATATCCCAAGGTATGTAACCCATATGTAATTAAATTCTCATTTAGTTTTACCGCATCTGACTCGAGAATGTGTGAACCCATAGGAAAAAAGAGGGATGTTTGTGTGTGGTGGTGTCTTAATTCCTGAATGGCTAAATGATTAACTAATTTTGTTTGCAGAAGAGGTGTTCAGGGAAGCTGTCTCTTACAGAAGAATCTTCGCTTGAAGATTTTGTGAAAAAACAAAAGGCTTATTTCAAAGAGGTTGATGAGTTCGAGCTGCAAGAGGAGGAAGCATCTGACTAATCTATCTCAATATAATAAATATATAAAGGTTAGTTTTGACTTTTAAGCATGCACATTATATCTTGATGTGTATTTGGCTGTGTCAAAAATGTTAGAGTGCAAAAAGGAAGTCAGACATACAATTCGGTGGAAATATTTGAAAATCAATCTATTCAATAGCCATAAGATGTCTCCATCGTTCTTTGTTCTGTTTCATTCAGTGTACTTTTTTCTGTTAATAAAACTCATCGTGTCAGGCGAATGAAAAAGTAATTGGAGAGTTTTCTAGGTCTAGCGAATGAGAATGAATAATAAACTCTGCCAGTAAGTATATTAGCAATGCTTACATCTTTTCTTGAGAGCTCTTTTAGGTTGAAGTTAGGCCAGACATTTTAAGTATCAAAAGGTTTGCAGCTTAAACTTAAAAAGGGCATGGTTCAAAACCTAACAAAAAGGATGGAAATACTACTCTGTGAAAATCCTGCCTATATTTATATACTAACTGTTAACTACATATTAAGATTCTGCCTATATTTAAATACTTCAAGTTTATTACTACCTCTGTCCCATTTTATGTGTCTTAGTTTTACTTGGCACGATTATTAATGTAGTGGTTGAAAAAGTAAAAGTTGTTGTTGAGATTTGAGTATAATAAAGTGAAATGGTGTAGGCCACATATTTCTTTCCAAAAAAGGAAAGTAGACCCTTAATTTGGGACAACTCAAAAAGGAAAGTAGGACTGGTAAAATGGGACGAAGGGAGTATTATTTAATTAGTAAATCGTTATTTTAAGTGTCTATATTAAATAGTAAGGATGGTAAGACTCATATATAAACTTCCTATTAAGAATTCTAACGGGATGTCTTCATGGTTATACTTACGATGAGATTTTGACCATCTCATGGGCCATGGCTGTCTTCAGTGACTCTTCACCCACATTAATATAAATTGAATAAGCTCATGATGAGCTCCTAAAATGAAGAAGGCTGCACATAGTTCTTATTTATGGTATTCCAGTTTTATTATAAATTAATAGTAGCTCCGGTTGATTTAGTTATGCCCTGATATATTGCTAACAGAATAGTGGTATATGATCTCATAATTGGTTCAAGGTTGTTGGTTTTATGTGCATATAAGTTCCAACCCTTTCATTGAAGAGTTAGTCTAATTATGGTTCTAATGGACAATCCTGTTACAAGATGCACAAATAAGAGATACACTTATCTCATCATAACAAGTGTTTTAGAACAAATTGGTTTGGTCGAAACCTAGAAATGGTTACGGCTTATTATTTTACTCAGCTTTTTTTCTTTTATATCTATCTACTGTGAAGCATGCATAAGTTTATTCTACTTTTTTTTATAATCTTGATTGCCCCCTCTAAAAATTAGTTTAGGTGATATCTGAAACCTATAAAACAAGATTTTATTTTACTTGGATTTTTGGCATTTAGGTATGTTTGATCTCATTAGAATGCTTTTTTGATATGAAGATTGCAGAAGTAGAATATCACACTGGTGGCATGTTTGAAGCTTGGAGCTGGCAGAGTTCAGCTTATCTGGATACAATTCTTGGACAAAGTTATGCTAAGAAACACATAACTATTATTCTTAGACACGGTCTTAGTAGTGTTATTGGTTTTAGATAGGTGTTTTCCGCATTTTGGGACTTGTGAGCATAATTTGGGTAAGTTTTTACTTCCTCCATTTTTAGCTCAAGTTTTATACTACGTACCACATTGAGGCTTGACTATGTGTAATGCAAATATTCATATTTAAAAAGCAGTTAACCATATGTAATGCAAGTATTAAGTCAGTGTTTTGATTGAATGGATAAGTTGTGGTTTTAATTAAGTCGCAAGTAAATATGACTTCATTGTTAAACAATTAAATTGCTATCCTCATTAAGTCGAAAGAAAACATCCTCTTAACGTTTACTACACGACAATGAACAAGAGTCAACAGCAAACATAGGAAACATTGCAAACTGTGAGTGCTTTCTTGTGATATGTGACGATGAAGGAAATCCGCAAAAACCAACCGTGAAAAATGTCGCCTACACTGAGATCTTCAATCATTTATAATGTGTGAACTTCTTAAACTTCTAACACTTGTTGATTATTTATTTTCGATTTCTCTCATCTATAAGTTTACATATTATAATATTAACATTTCAAATATTTACATATTACATCCCGTGCAACGCATGGGTGAGATACTAGTGATTAACTAATTTTGTTTGCAGAAGAGGCGTTCAAGGAAGCTGTCTTTTACCGAAGAATCTGCGTTTGAAAATTTTGTGGAGAAACAAAAGGCTTATTTCAAAGAGGTCTGTTGAAATATAAACTACAAAATATAATATTGAAGAGAGGAGGAAAGATTTTCTGTGTATTTCATTGGAGGGTTAAGTCCCTATAAATATACATTACAAAGATAGAATATTCCTATAAGATTCTATACAATAATAATATCCTAGAGTATATTCCTAAAATATTCTAAAGTATATTCTAAGGATAGAAGAATATTCTAAAGTATATTCTAAAGTATATTCTAATGTCTTTCACACTCCCCCTCAAGTTGGAGCATAGATATTTATCATGCCCAACTTGTTACATAAATAACCAACACGAATTCCATTTAATGCTTTAGTGAACAAATCTCCAAGTTGCTCTCCAGTCTTCACATATCCTGTAGAGATCAATCCTTGTTGTATCTTTTCTCGAACAAAGTGACAATCGACCTCAATATGTTTTGTTCTCTCATGAAACACTGGGTTGTTGGCAATGTGTATAGCAGCTTGGTTATCACACCAGAGTTTAGCAGGCATTGGTGTCTTCAATCCGATTTCACTCAGCAAATGGTTTATCCAGATTATCTCACATGCTGATTGTGCCATAGCCCGATATTCTGATTCAACACTCGAACGAGAAACCACATTTTGCTTCTTACTTTTCCAAGAGACGAGATTACCACCAACAAAGACGCAATAGCCAGATGTGGATCTCCTATCATCTTTAGATCCAGCCCAATCAGCATCTGCAAAGCATTCTATTCTCATGTGATCATGATTTTGGTAAACAATACCTCGTCCTGGTGTCCCCTTCAAGTAACATAATATATGCTCTACTGCATTCCAATGATCAACTGTCGGAGATGACATATATTGACTCACTACGCTCACAGAGTAAGCAATGTCTGGACGAGTGACTGCGAGATAGTTAAGCTTTCCAACCAATCTTCTGTACCTTTCTGGGTCTTCGAATGGTATGCCTTCTGAAGTGAGTTGCACATTGGGAACCATGGGAGTTGTGTTTGGCTTTGCTCCCAATTTCCCCGTTTCAGTTAGTAAATCAAGTACATATTTACGCTGAGATAGAAATATGCCTTTCTTACTCCGTGTTACCTCAATACCCAGAAAGTATTTCAATGAGCCTAGGTCTTTTGTTTGGAATTGGCTATGAAGAAAATTCTTAAGGGCCAAAATACCTGCGGTATCACTTCCTGTAATCACTATATCATCGACATACACCACAAGCAATGTGATACCTGCTTTCGTTTTTCTGTAAAAGACAGAGTGATCTGATTGACCTTTTATCATTCCAAACCGTTCAATGGATTGACTGAATTTCCCAAACCATGCACGAGGACTCTGTTTCAGACCATAAAGAGATTTGCGAAGTCGACAAACTTTCCCATACTCCCCCTGAGCAACAAATCCCGGAGGTTGCTCCATATAAACTTCCTCCTGAAGGTCACCATGTAAGAATGCATTTTTAATGTCCAACTGGTGTAAGTGCCAATCATGAGTTGCAGCGAGTGAGATAAGTAACCTGACAGATGTTAATTTAGCAACAGGAGAAAAAGTGTCAGAATAATCAACACCATAGGTTTGAGCATAACCCTTTGCAACCAATCGAGCTTTCAATCGAGCAACAGATCCATCTGGATTAACCTTAACAGCAAAGACCCACTTACATCCAATAGACTTCTTCCCTGAAGGCAAGTATACCAAATCCCAAGTACCATTAAGATCCAAAGCATTCATTTCCTCTACCATGGCATGTCGCCATTCAGGATGAGACAAAGCTTCTTTAACAGATTTGGGAACAGAAATAGAATCAATGGAAGCAACAAAAGAACATGAGGCAGGAGATAACTGACTGTATGACACAAATGAGGAAATAGGATGAGTACAAGACCGTGTACCTTTACGTAGTGCTATCGGGAGGTCAAGATCAGATGTAGAGACAAGATCTGAAGATGCAGGTACTGGTTCAGGACATGAGATCGAAGTCGGACCAGTATCAGGATATGTAATCACAGGTGTCACAGGTGGGGAGTGATCTTGTGCTTTGTGTCGACGGGTGTAAACCAAGTGTACAGGAGGTCTAGGGTCAGGAACAGTGACATTCGACATAGTTACTGACTATGTTGCACCGATACTTCACTTCGATGCCGTATCCGCGTATCCGATACGTATCCGTATCCGATACTCACCGATACCCGTCCTGTACGTATTGGGTCCGTATCCGTAATTTAATAAAAGTATCGGGCTTAATTTTAAAAATACCGATACTTCCGATACCCGTATCCGTGAACCGATACGCGTATCTGAACCTATAACCCCTCATTTTATACACGACATGACGAAAATTTAGTAGCCAACCAAGCGACCACAACATGTGGAACATTGATAAAAGATGGTTTCGGGAGTATGAAAAATAATGGAATACTATAATTTGACATTTCATTGCTTGATGATATTTAATTGATGATTTCGGGAGTATGAAAAATAATGGAATACTATAATTCAAAAAATATTTTGAATTTAAATCAAAATATCAATACTTTAGTTTTTTAGACTAATCTTTGAAACTTTATTATAATAGTTAATTTTTTGTACTATTATTATTTTATTTATGAACCCCTGAATTATATATATTTGCAAATTATACCCTATATTTTTATTATTTATAAATATACCCCCGTGCCCGTATCCTATAATTTTTGAAAGTGCCGTATCGCCGTACCCGTATCCGCGTATCCGCGTATCGGCGTATCCGTATCCGTGCAACATAGGTTACTGAAGGTGTGGTCTCAGGTATAGTAACTGTGTAAATGAGTATTTCATCGTTGTCCTCATGAATATCTGTCTTGGATGATGAAAATGGTGTATTTTCATGAAATGAGACATCAATAGAAATAAGATATCGACCTGTACTTGGACAAAAACATCTATACCCCTTTTGAACTCGAGAATAACCCAAGAAAATACATTTCAATGACTTGGGGTCCAATTTCGTCCGATGAGGGTTAACATCTCTAACAAAACAAGTGCAACCAAATATTTTAGGTGGAATAGGAAAAAGTTCTTTATTTGGAAAAAGACATTGATAAGGAGTTTTACCATCCAAAACAGAAGATGGCATACGATTGATCAAAAAACATGAAGTAGACACAGCGTCAGCCCAAAACTGTTTAGGCACATTCATTTGGAATAGAAGAGCCCTTGCAGTTTCTAACAGATGTCGATTCTTTCTTTCAGCAACTCCATTTTGAGGAGGTGTGTCTACGCATGAAGTTTGATGAATAATGCCATGTTGAAGCATAAAAGATTTAAATGGAGCAGATAAATATTCTTGGGCATTGTCTCCCCTTAACACACGAACAGGAACATTAAATTGAGTTTTAATTTCAGCACAAAATGCAGAGAAATGAGTAAATAACTCGGATCGGCGCTTCATAAAATACACCCATGTCATACGAGAATAATCGTCAACAAAAGTGACAAAATATTTGAAACCAGGTTTGGACACAACTGGACATGCCCCCCAAACATCAGTATGGACAAGATCAAACGGAGCATTTGCTCGTTTATTAAGTCGGGGACTTAAACTAGTGCGATGATGTTTAGCAAACTCACACGACTCACATTGTATAGAAGACACCTTATTAAACTGAGGATATAATTGCTTCATTAGTGAGAGAGATGGATGTCCTAATCGGTAATGAGCTTCTAATAGATTTCCAACCCCAAGGCAAGAGATACCTTTTGTAATTGATGTATCCAAAATATAAAGACCACCCGACTCATGTCCTTGACCAATAGTATGCTTCGTTAACAGATCCTGAAACACACAATATCCCGGAAAAAATGTTACAGAACAATTAAGAGTACGTGTGATTTTACTGATGGAAAGCAGATTAAATGCAAAATTAGGAAGACTCAAAACAGACGATAATGGTAATGTAGAAGTTGGTACAACAGTACCAGATCCAAGAACGGGTGAGGTAGACCCGTCTGCTAAAGTGACACTGGAAGCAGGTAAATGTGAGTGAAATGATGAGAATAGACTAGGATTACCAGTCATATGATCTGTGGCACCTGAGTCAATGACCCATTTTGAGGATGATGAAACAAGACATGTGTTTGAAATACCTGAATTTGCGACTACCGAGATAGGGGTAGATGAATGCTTTAGAGATTCTTGGTAGCAAATAAATTTAGCATACTCGTCTGAAGAAATAGCAATTGATCCATCAAATGAACTCGTAGCGGAAGCAACATGAGCAAGCTGATTTCCTTGATTTTTGAACAGCAACTTTCTACATTCTTTGAGCAAGTGCCCGGGCTTCTTGCAGTAATGGCATATTACTCCTCTGCCAAATGGACCCGTAAAAGACATTCTTTTTTTCTTTTTTTCTTTTTTTTGATTTTTTTTTTTTTTTTTTTTGATTTTTTTTTTTTTTTGATTTTTTTTTTTACTTTTTTTTTTTTGAGAATAAATAAATAAATACAGCTAATTAAGACTTACCAGCCGCAGCTCAATAGATGGTTGGCGAGGTCTGGGTTTCTGACTTACCAGCTAATGATAGTGGCGACTCCAAAAATATAACGCAGCCCCTTTCTAATTCGAGTTAGTTCACCTAGTCTCAAATCCCAACCTTTCTCAACAGTCTGCGTCGCCAACCTCAAGAAGACCGTGGATCCAAAAGCTCGCAGATCGGAAAAATGGATTTGCCTGGCAGAGATGGCGATTTCCGATTAGAAATCCGGTCAGCTATGAAGCTTCACTCGCCGGCGCGTGCGGCAGCCGAGAAAGTCTTCGGCGGCGCGTGTGACTGACGCGCGAAGCTTTGCCGGTGCGGACTCCAAAGACGTGGTCGGCAGCGGCAAGTGCAATTGGTTAGGACGGAGGTGAGAAATAGGACGGTGTTGGTCTGGACAGAGGTTCTGTTTAATGGTGTGTAGAGGTTCTGTAGGCAGAATGGTGTGTAAGGTTCTGAAAATGGTGTGTAAGGTTCTGAAGTTAACTCAAGTTCTTGGAGAAAGAACCCAGCCTGAATACTGAACTGAAGTCAGCCTGAATAAAGAACTGAAATCTGAAAAACTAAACTGAAATGGAAGGCTCTGATACCATGTTGAAATATAAACTACAAAATATAATATTGAAGAGAGGAGGAAAGATTTTCTGTGTATTTCATTGGAGGGTTAAGTCCCTATAAATATACATTACAAAGATAGAATATTCCTATAAGATTCTATACAATAATAATATCCTAGAGTATATTCCTAAAATATTCTAAAGTATATTCTAAGGATAGAAGAATATTCTAAAGTATATTCTAAAGTATATTCTAATGTCTTTCACAAGGTCGATGACTAATTTATTGGCTGATGAGTGTCTTAAATTGGGTTTTTTTGCTGAGGAGAATGTTTTTCTAGTCAAGCATAGCCTAGGCATACCCTAGCGTAGTAGTCACCATTTGGCAATTAGGTTGGGAATTCAATTCTTAAAAAAGTTCCTGTAAATAGTGTTGTGATCTATTCCTCTTGTAGTCTCTGCACTGCTGAACTTTTAGCTTATTAGCTTATACGAAGTATTAGAATTTCATTTAGCTGTCTGTACAATTTAATGGGCCTTGTTTTCATATGTCACATTTTTACCTGTCTAGGTAACGTAAGTATGTGATTATGTGGACACTAAAAACTATTCACTTAGTTTAGTTTATTTTCTCGTATACTACGTATAATACTATCGTATTCAAGAGTTGTTTCATTTCTTATCATAGATTGGACGAAGTATATGCTTTATCATCCCAAAATTTTGTTTACCAAAACATAAGTTCCTAAGGAAAATAATGGGCACATCAGAACCAAGGACGGGTTAATAGGTGGATAACATGCTAGATGTAATCATTGTGCATCTGTTTGATCATGGAAAAGAGTCTTAGCATCTGCAGAAGCATGAATCCCTCCACACCCACAGGGAAAAGAAGACGAAAAACAGTTCATACTTCAGATGTGACTGAGATCCCTCATTGATTGACACTGATACAGAGTGCATTGGAGTTGATCTTTTGCTTGAAATGATTTTTGATGGTAGCAGAATAGTATTTCAAGTTAAAGGGTTGGTCTCTATTATTTTTATATTCAGTTCTTTTGCTAAAAGCTAATAAGCATTGAACCAACTTTATTCTCTTTTCCTTATCGAAGCATTACAAGTTGCAAGCAAGAGCCATGTAGTCAAGGTTTGAAATGGCCTGGAAACTATGAAAGTAATATAGGATCTCATAGAGGAAATTGTGATTGATCAAGTAAAGCTTTATAATTCCAAATATTTGAACAGAAGTTCCTAATTAGGGGTGGACCGGTTCTGGTTCGGGCCCGGTTCGGGCCTGGGCCCGGCCGGGCCTCGGTTCAGGAATGGGAGGCCCGGAACCAGCCCGGGTAATCCCGGGTCCGGGCCGGGCCTCGGTTCTATTTTTTTTAGTTTTTCCTAATTAACCCCCAATCCTCCCCCCTCACCCCCAAGGCCCAAACCACCTCAAATGGCCCAAAATACCCAGCCCAACCCAAAAACTTAAAAAAAATTCAAAAAAAAATCAAAAAAAAATTAATTTGGCCCGAACCGGCCGGGCCGGTTCACAAATCCTAGGGCCTGAGCCCGAACCGCATTCCTACCGGGCCGGGCCGACCCAAACCGCCCCTCGGACCGGTTCCCGGTCCGGGCCGGTTCAAACAGTGGCCGGGCCGCCCGGCCCGAGTCCATCCCTATTCCTAATTCTTATTGATCGGACATATTTGGATGCTAAAAAAGAAATAATTTGTTAGATAAGTAGTGAAGCTTGATTAACAGTTGTTTGAAAAAATAATTCTATTTGTACATGAGTTGTGGAGTAAAATGACTCACTAAATTGTGTGTGCTTCTTTGTCATGGAGCGACAGTCCTCCATGCAAATTTTGACGTGACTTTCACTATGGATCATCCGGAGACAATTTTTTTGTACTTTAGTACAGGGGTAAGGCTGCGTACATCTGACACCCTTACCCCACTGTAGGTGGAAGCCTTTGCGGCATTGGGTAATGATGATGATCTACATGAGTTGTGGGTTTCTATGAAAGTATATTGGGTTTGGGTTTTGAGGTGGTTTCATAAGTGATCATTTGACCATTTCCTTGGAGCTTATACCAAGTCCTTAAGGACCCTGTTAACTCAGGAACTTTTCTGGTTCAAAGATTGACTGCAATTGAAGGATATGAGATGGCGTCCAGTGATGAAAAAGATGCATGAAACTTTTGTAAATGATAGGATCAGTGCTGCGTAGAAGCGGACCATAAAAGCATACAGCCCAACTGCCCAAGGTATATTATTCGTAATTCATATACGGAGCATGAACTACTCTTGTGAATTTCATGTGTATGTTTTTCTTTCTGCCATTTCACATTCAGTTTTTTCACTTCTATCCATTGAACTTGTGACCTGCTCTGTACACCTGAAAAATGTTATACTCCGTATGATCGAACTATTTAAGACCCGGCCTGGACTTGTCTTGTATTAGTCCATTTTTCTGACCTTACCTCAAATATATTACCTCTGTCTCATTACACATTACCAACTCCGAATTCGGTGAGAAATAAGAAAAGTAAAATGGTGTGATTGATGTTTGTGTAAAGGAAGTTTTAAAAGAACCAGGAAAGAAATTAAAATAGGCATGAAATTATAAAAGAAAGTTGGAATAGAAAAGAGAGAGTGGGCAAGAGAAGCGGTGGTAAACGCTGACATGCGTTAGGGTTCAGTGCGCCGCAAAGATAATTAGGCACAGAGGTTTGGCTTTAGGTTTCAAGCGACAGAGAAGGAATTCGATCACTAGTGGTGTGGCTGGCGAATGACAGGTCTAGAGCGAAGTGGTGCATGGGAAGTATTTTGGCCTTTTAAGGCCTAATTGTTAGTTTGAATCTCTCACATATTCAGCAAAGAGCTTCCGAGCTGTGTTGTGCAGGCTGGTTGACTAGGACAAGGGCCAAAGCCTAATTGGCCCATGAACTGGACCAGCAGTCCTAAGCGCCTGACTTGCTGATGAGCCAACGCGGAAAAGCAACGACAAGACAATTAATGCGCAGATTAATTATGTGTTTAATCACGTATTAATGTTGTAATTTTTTTATTATCCATATTAATGTTGTCATTAGTTAGTCATTTCTTGCACATAGCAGTTTCCATTTGTAAATGCCTATAAAAGGCAAGTGTAATTAAAATGATAAGACATGCAATTTCTGGCAACTAAATTCCCTAAACAATTTCCATTTTCGTACTTTCTAATTCCTATTTGAGTGTTTTGTCCTAGCTGTCCCGAAAAGCCTACGAGCGTCTATTTCGGGTTCGGGAACCGAACCAAACAAACTAAACTTTTTAAAACATGCTATGTTATTTATTAATCATTAAGTCTATTATTTGGTTTAGATCTTAATTCTTAATTATAGAAATTTAACATTTGATACTAGATTTATTATGATATGCAAGATATTGACTTTTGATATATATATGGTTTAACTAAGTGAAATACTTGTACATACACCTTAGTCTATTGCTATAATATTAATATGTTGATATTTTGAATCGTAATTTACATTTTGTTTGTTGTTACATGAAGATGATCTTTTGTAGTTATATTATTATTAGTTGCTTGTGTTTGTTATCACATAAGTTTTTATTAGTGAAGAATATATATATATATATATATATATATATATATATATATATATTAATATAAATTTGTACCTCAGACAACAAAACACATAAGGTGAAACTTTATATAGAGTAGTATATATACCTTTGTGGCTTTGTGTAACAACATAATAGTATGTTATTTACTATCAATTAAAATACTCCGTATATTAGTAAAAAGGAAAATGAATTAATAAATAAACACAACATTTACAAATAAAATTTTAATTCTTAATATGGGGATACACTATATATTATTCGTATATAAACTTATGCGTTTAATTAATTTAGAAATTGTTAAATTGATATATACTCTCTAACTCATTGTTTGGAAGTGCATTTGTTTGTTCTCCTTATTATTTATGGAGTATAATTTTGTATTGCATTACTGCAAATTATAGTTTGATATAGTTTATTTTTTGTTTTTATTTTCAAATCACTGTTTTTTTATCAACAAAATGTTTTAGCAAAAACGAAAAAATCGAAACCGATCCAAAATAAATCGAACCAAACAAACTGTAGTTTTACATTTTTAAATTCAAAGCTGAACCAAATTTTTTATTTCAATTCGTCATTTGATTTTAGGTGAAAGCTGAACGGTTTGATCCGGAGGTTACATCTACCGGTGAGAGGATAACATTGAATGACATCATTTTCTTACTCCATATTAGAAAGGTTTACTATGTGTAAAAAAAAACTGGTCAAGAAGTCTGACATAGAAGATTCTTATTATCATAGTATTAAGTGTTGATTAGACTGGTAGCCATGGAAGCCAACCACCATGAAAGGCCAGAACATAGACAAACGAAGAAAGGACCTCGCAGTCGAATGGCCGAAACAGACTTGACGCCCACAAATCGAGCCTTCTTCCTTATTGGACCTGGCGGGCCTTCTGCATTTACAGCGAATGAAGGATGTGGACGCGACTGCTCTGTTCTCCGTACAATCGTGTACGTCCCTGTTTCCTCGGCGGCGCAACACCTCCAAATCCGCTGCCACCATTGAGAGACGCAAATCTATAATAAGATTGATCAGAAAAGGATCGAGGCACTAACTGATTATAAAATTGGATCCTAGACTCTAACTTTTGAGCCACTAACAAACTTTAAAGTACGTGGAGGAAAAATAAGGATGTTTTTAGGTAATTTGCTATGCGGTCGGGTCTGGTAATGTAGGGTCTGTTTGTAATTTTATAACTATCCGAGTCTTATCTGATCTGGTTTGATATATTCTGGTCTGGTCTAATGTGATCTGATTTCTTCTGGGTTGGTTTGCAACTCCTTTTAAAAAAGCACTTCTCAGTTTTTGGCTTTAAAAAAGCACTTATTTTCCCAAACATTACAATTTTTATTTTTCTCGGCTTCCGCGTCAAAAGTGCTTTTACTTTTTCTATTACACAAAAAGCACATATTTTACCAAACACTACCCACTTTTACTTTTCAAAATCACTTTTTTCTCAAACACTATCAACTTTTATTTAATCATTTCTCCTTATTTCATTAAAAAAAAGCACTTTTTTAAAAGCAGAAGCTTTTGCTAACAGACCCTAAGTCGAAAGTAAAAATATCGTAACCGGTTGAATGGAGGCGGGTCAACAATGGTAACTAAAGTCTAGACACTCACTGACCTTAGTTGATGTCACAAACCCGTTAGTGACTTTCACCAAACTCTAATTATTAAATCGACATCATAAATTGATGCCTTGCAATAACTAATCACGTCCATCTATCGCCGTCATTGTGGTATTTAGTTATCAACAACACTTTCAATCTCGAAACGAAATCTTATCCACTGAAGTCACGACAAAATTGTTATTGCCTACCTTGATGGCACAAATATACGAAGTATACTAATACCTCCCTCCCTAAATTTACTTCCAAAATAAAATGTCACACGGATTAAGAAAGTGAGAATTGTGTGGTGGAGAGTTGTTGTTTAGAAGAGAGAGAAATGTTGTGAACCACAAATTCTTTGCTAAAAATGAAAAGTGAAGTTTTTTTAACGAACGAAAATGGAAAGTTGGAAGTATTTCTAGGAACGGAGGGAGTACTACCTAGTTCTGAATGACTATATATTAAATTGATGGCAATATATATGATGTTAAAAAAATCACAAATAATACACCTAAATTTTGGGCGTCAGTTCCAATAGTTTTTGGTAGCTAACCCTTCCTATTTATTTAGTGCCAAATAACGTTTTTATACTAGTATTCAGGACCGGCTCAATAGATTAGAAGTCCGGTGCAAATCACATAAAATAGGGCTTATATCAAATAAATATAATATAAATAACATGCTTTAAAAAATAACCCAAAAAAGACTACAATCAAATGTGACATTGAGATATAATCATATTTCGAACCTGAACAATTAAAATCGGTAAAAAAAACTAAAACCGAAAAGAGAAGAATTAAAATCTTGAACTAAAAAATATAGAGTAGGATATTTCTTAAAAAAGCTACTCCCTCTGTTCCTTAAAACCAAGCTCGTCCAAACTGAATGAGAAATTTGTGCTAATTACTATAACTATGCCTTATCCAGGCCTTATGTAATAAAGAAGTTACACATTTATAATTAACAATTGCATTTTATTTAGAAAGAATGACTAAAATGAGACCACGGGGTCCCATATAGACAAAAATGTGAGCACATTCGATTTTAGACAAAAAAGTGATTAAAAGAAGGGTAAAGAGACTCAAATGGCGGATTTCATCCGAACATTCCAATTCATTGCATCGTCGATGTAGCGCAACTCTTTCCCTTGAAATGGCGAATTTCTTCCGATGAAGATGGCGACCAGATTTTGTGACGAAGATGGTGACCAAACCTCTTTCCGGCCATCCCTCATCTTCGTGCGCATAGAGTCTTTGAGCGACGGCTGCCGCTACGAAGAAAGACGGAGACAACGACTACGCAGAGCAACGGCAGCGGCTAAACCTGCCACTGGAACTCCTCTTCTCCTCTCATCTCCTCTTCTCCTTTCTTTTTGTCCGTAAACCGCCGTTGCTCGCTCCTGTGGCGGCGACGAGCTTCGTAGATCCAACGAGGAACTTCTAATCCGGCGGCGAGATCTATTGATCTGAGGACATGCTTCGTCGGATTTGGGAGCCACCGATGACTTTGCTTGTGGCTACGACAGATTCTCAAGTTGACCCTCAACAGATCTGGAACTCCTGTTCTGTGAGGCTCGTTAGGCTAGTGTGCGGCAGGGGTAGTGGCAGAAGGTAGGGAGTTGGTGTATGCGGTGGTGATGGCTGGGTCAGGCAGTGGCAGTAGGTGGCCAGGGTGAGTACGGGTCTGGAGAAAGACACTTTGATGTTGCCGGCGATGGTCACTGTCACCGGCGGCAGGCACTATTGCCGACGGTGGTCCCTCGTCGGCGAGGTCATTAGTCAGCCGACAGGTCACTATGGTGGGGTAGGGGGCTGGTTGGGCAGGGGGCGGGACTGGATTGGACTGCTGTGGTAGCATTGTAGCAGCGGGGTAAGTTAGGAAATTCGGGGCATTGACGAGGCAGCCGGATGTCACTATTGGTTGGTCACTGGGGTCAGGTTGGTCACCGGGGTCGGGTTGGTCACTGAGATTGGGGTGGTCTGGGGGCGGAGGTTACCGTAGTCGGGATGTCACTATAGCTGAGTCACTAAGTGTTGGTAACTGTGGCATTGGTAACTGGCTATAAAGTCACTGTGTCGTCGGTCACTGAGAATGTAGTCACTATGAAATAGGTCACTGTAATGCATTGGTCAATTAGGTCACTGTAATGCATTGGTCACTATAGCGGACGAGCATTGGTCACTAGACGAGCGGGTGTTGGTAATTCAACGGGTGGACATTGGTCCTGAGCGGGAGTGAGTGTCTCAATTGATCACTGGACGGAAGTTACTGTGCAATTGGTCACTTGACGGAAGTCAGAGTGTCAATTTGTAATTGGGATGTTTGACACTAAAGCAGTAGTAACTGAAACGGTAGTCACCGGAACAGTAATAACTGAAAGATAGTCACTGGAACAGTAAGAAACTAGGTCGGAATCACTAGAGCGATAATAACTGGAACAATTTTCACACAACTTTTGGTGTAATAATTTAAATATTTAAGACCATTATGTTCCATATCCAAATATTTATCTTGAGAAATAACATTAAAATAAAAACAAAAACCATTAGTTTTAAAAATTGCAATGTTAATTTTGCAAAAAAAAAAAAAAACCATTGCAATATTAAACTTATCAATATGACGGCATAAATTTATAATGTAGTGCATTGGTAAAAAACGGTTATGCACTTACGGAACGTTGGTTTGCAACAGCTTTCAAAAAAGCACTTCTCACCTTTTGGCTTTAAAAAGCACTTATTTATCAAACACTATCAATTTTTTATTTTTCTCGGCTTTTGTGTCAAAAGTGCTTTCCCCTTTTTATACACCAAAATCACTTATTTTACCAAACACTACCAACTTTTACTTTTTAAAATCACTTTTGTCTTAAACACTATCAACTTTTACAACTAATCACTTTTTCCAAATCACCCCAAAAGTGCTTTTTTTTAAGCAGAAGTTGTTGCAAACACTCCCGGAGTGTATTGCTAAGCACTTGCACTTAGAAATTTTGACGGCTTAAACTTCCGAATGCAGCGATCACGAAGGGTAGTTTAGACATCTAGGTGTTTATTAGTCTTTTTTTGGAAACTAAAAGAAAAGGTCACTTTTTTGTCCATTAGCCTTTTTTTAGTAATATTCATGACAGAACCCCTTTTAATTAGATATAAATATTAGTATTTAATGTTTGTATTTAAAAACAAAATACTAAAATATGAATTTTTAATCAAATAAAAAAAGATTTTGTATATTATGTAGACTATATTTAAAATTTTCCTCTTCTCTGCACAAATATCAAGCACACAATTTTTTACTTTATTATTTTACATGCAAGTCAACTTTTGTTTAGTTTTATGGGGCGGAGGAGTATGAGAGTGAGATGATGACCATTATTAATAATAGAAATAAAAATGTGTAAAATGTGTAACCAACTTGTTTTTTAATAGGAAAAAATTAACCAACTGGGTTAATAAGTCTGACATATAAGAAATGACACCACATCCCTGAGGGACGACACGATGAGTAAATTGGACTATAATAACAATCTGACAGATGGAGAGTGAGGCTCCGTCCCCGGTACTTGCAGAGGTCTTATGCATTTTTAGCATAGTAACCTCTCATCGCAATTGCCAGGATTCGAACCCGGGACCTAATCCTTGTGTCACTCTATCACTAATTCACTACCCGTTGAGCTGCGTCCACCAGTATAAGCCTGACATATACTAGTAAGTTACTATAAAAAGAATGTTGTGATCATATAAGTTACTATAAAAAGAATGTTGTGATCATAGCATTGAGTGTTGATAAGACTGGTAGGCATGGAAACCAACCGCCATGCAAGGCCAGAGCATACAACAAAAGAAGAAAGAAAGGGCCGGCAGCCAACAACTTGTGCGGGCCTGACAGTCGAAATATACCTGACACGCATAAATCGACCCTTCTTCCTCATTGGTTCATCGGAGCTGGAGGGCCTTCTGCATTTACACCGAATCATGAACATGGACGTGACTGCTATGTTCTCCGTACAATCGTGCACGTTTCTGATTCCCCTGCTGGGCAGAATTATTATATCTTCGGGATGGCTTTGTCTTCTCCAAGATCAAACCTTTGATCTGAAAAATCCTTCGCACAGAAGAACCAGTAGATTCAGATTCATTCCATGGCGGCGCGGTTCCTGAAAAACCCACCGACGGCCCAAAAGCCCCATTGGTACTCTGCCGAAACCGGAATTTATAGAAGCACATACTCTTCGCTTCCATTGCCGTCTGATCCGTTTCTGGATGTCGTTTCCTTCATTTTCTCGCATAAACATGGCGGCGGGACCGCTCTGGTTGATTCGAAATCCGAGGGTTCAATTTCATACCCTGAATTGCGTTCCCTTGTCAAGTCCACAGCCAGTGGCCTTCATCACCAAATGGGTGTTTCTCAAGGTGACGTCGTCTTAATTCTGCTGCCCAATTCCATTTATTTCCCTGTTCTTCTGTTGGGTGCTTTGAGTGTCGGTGCAATTGTGACCACCATGAATCCTCTCAGCAGCTTGTTAGAGATAGAGAAGCAGGTTCGTGAGTGTAATGTGAGACTGGCATTTACTACCCCTGATAGAGTTGATGAATTGGATAAATTAGGCGTCCGGGCTATTGGATTGACAGAGAATTTCGTGGTTGATTCAAAAACTAATTTGGGTTCTACTTTTGGAAAGCTGATTTCATCCGATCCTAGATCGGCTCCAAACCCGAGAATCAAGCAACAGGACACTGCAGTTATACTCTATTCCTCAGGAACTACTGGGAGTTGTAAAGGCGTGTTGTTGACTCACCAGAATTTCATAGCTATGGTTGTACTGTTTGTGCGGTTTGAAGCTTCACTGTATGAGCAACTAAGTACAGAAAATGTGTACTTGGATGTTATACCCATGTTTCATGTGTATGGGCTGTGTCTCTTTGCGATGGGGTTGTTATCTCTGGGCTCTACTGTGGTTGTGATGGGAAAATTTGATCCTGATGAGATGGTAAGAGCTATTGAAAAATATGGTGTTACTCATTTCCCTCTTGTCCCACCATTACTAATGGCATTGACAAGGAGAGCAAAACACGTACATCCAAATTGTATGAAGAGTTTGAAACAGGTTTCTTGTGGAGCTGCTGCATTGAGTATGCAATGTATCGAGGACTTCATTCACACACTCCCCCATGTTGACTTCATTCAGGTCCAAATCTTATTATCTTTTATAAATGTGTGTATAAAGTTTAAAACAAGGAGATATTTTAATGCGAGAAATAAGAATAAATCTAGTGCATTGGTTTTGAGATCTAAGGCACTAGAAATGTTAGTATTGCAATACATTTGATTAAAAAAATGGGTAACATTTTCGTAAATAAATTAAACTTTTTTGCCATGGTGAAAACTATACTCTTGAATCATAAAATAGCAGCATGGTGAACCAAAAATGCACCCTTTGAATTTCGTACTACCAGCACAGGAAACACCATTCTCACTGTGACCACAATACATGTGCATGTGCGTATGCATACGTGTATATATGTGTGTGATACATGCATCATTCAATAAAAGGAAATACTTGGAGGGGAGAAACAATAGAACTACTTTGTGCACAAACTAAGAACTAGACAAAAACACAATGCAATTCTAATTCATTCCCATTAATAAACTGTTGCACCTCTTTCCCTATAAAGTATTTCGAGCATTGGTTATACAATTTGGACTCAGGGTTATGGCATGACTGAGTCCACGGCTCTCGGAACACGCGGTTTTAATACCGAGAAGCTACGTAATTACTCGTCAGTTGGACTTCTTTCACCAAACATGGAAGCCAGAGTTGTTGATTGGATTACTGGTTCATCGTCACCTCCAAACAGCACTGGTGAGCTCTGGCTACGTGGTCCTGGTGTCATGAAAGGTAAATGCTGCAAATTATACTTCCTTTGTCTACAAAGCCATTTAAGTCTAAAACTTTCAACAGGTTTTGTCAAGGGTATATTTATTGCTCACCGGGTTCATTTCCTTTACCAAAATAAAATTTTGTGTTTGTTTTACCCTATAATTTAACTTTCTACTTTGGCATTTTGTTCTTCAGGGTATGTAAATAATGTTGAGGCCACCAAGTCTACAATAGACGATGATGGCTGGCTTCACACAGGTGACATTGTTTACTTTGACGAAAATGGATATCTTTATGTGCTTGACCGCTTGAAAGATGTCATAAAATATAAGGGCTTCCAGGTTTGTAGTTATTTAAGGTTCCTTAATATTCTAAAAATCTAGGAATAGGACAAGTGTATGAATTCCCAGCGAAATTGAGATTTGGAACTACATCTTTCTCATTGTGCTATACTGTCATCTTCAGATTGCTCCTGCTGATTTAGAAGCTGTATTGTTGTCTCATCCAGATATTATTGATGCTGCAGTAACCTCGTACGTCTGGATCAACATTTAGCTTCCAATCTGTTCTTATTATACTCCCTCCGTTCTCTATTAGATGTCTCTATAGGGTTTGACACAAGTTTTAAGAGGAAAATAATAAGGGTAGTGTAAAAGGTGTAGTGGGTTGTGTTTAAATGAGAAAGTAGGAAAGAGAATGAAAAAGTAGGAAAGAGAAGGAGGGTATATAGGTATATTTATTGATAAAACTTTCTAAAAATGGAAAGGGAGACAACTATTAGAGAACATCCCAAAATGGAAAGAGGGACAAGTATTAGAGAACGGAGGGAGTAATTAACTTATACTATTATAGCCCTTTATTATCTTGTATATGAAGCTCATGACAGTGTTAAATTGTATTAGAGACATTGATGAGGAAGCTGGGGAAATCCCAGTGGCCTTTGTGGTTAAGAGAGCTGACTGTGCTCTGTGTTCGACAGCTGTAATCAATTTTGTAGCCCAACAGGTCTCTATTTCCTGCCCCCCCCCCCCCCCCATTGTGTATTAGTTAGTGTGTGCTCAAAAGTGAAGAAGCAGTAGAGGATCTTTGGTTGCATAACAGCTCAAGGATATACTTTTCTGGCAGGTAGCACCATACAAGAAAGTCAGAAAGGTCTTCTTTAGAGAATGTATACCAAGGTCTGCAGCAGGTAAGGTTCTGAAAAGGGAACTGAAGAACATCTCGAGTTCGAGAATGTAAGCTATGCATGTGACATATGCTACATAAAAGCCCATTTCAGCTTACTTATAAATATCTTAAAGCCTTTCTTATACATTGTTGGAGAAAAGTGGGAAAGTGTTCAATAGTTTGTAATACGGCCTTATGATTCCATACACCTTGCTCTTTTTTCTTTTGGAAATAACAATGGGAATAAATACTGGGTACTTTTGATCATCTGTGGTAACCTTTTTCATTCACTTATGTGATGGGTCATCAAAGTTTCACGCCTGCACCTCTCGTCCTTGGAGCTATGGTTTACATTTTTAAATGAATAATTGTTGATGTGTTTGTTCTAAATGAATTAAATATAAATAATATCAAAATGTATAAGATCATGAGCTATGGTTTAATCTGCATCTTTTATGATAGAATGGATAAAACCTCATCCTTAAGTAATCGTAATAGAACAAACATTTGAATAATGAATCAATGTATGAGATCATAAAATTGAAAGCTTTGGTATCAAGTCTAACCAATCAAGTTCTAGAAATTTTAGAATGTGATTCTGTTTGCATCTACTTGAGAAGTGGTTATTTTAAAGATTATTTGAAAAGCAATTAATAACAAAAATTGGTAATATTTGAAAAGAAAGTGATTTTATAAAGTAAGCGTTGGAGTGTTTGGTGATTTTTAAGTAGAAAAATGAAATTGGCTTTAAACTCCCACTTTTAGTTTTGAATAGTTTAGGGAAAATTATCAAATAAACCCCCGATTTTTTTTAAAAAATCAATTAGACCCCTACTTAAAGTTCAACCAATTAGTAAACCCCTAAATTCATTTAAAAGTGGCAAATTCTCCTTTTAGAGTTTTAGTAGGTTTTCTTTCAATTTCCCCCGTCAATTGCTTGTGTGTTGTGTGATGTGAATTTTTTTTCTTTTTATTTTCTTTTTCTTCCTTTTTTCTTTCTTTCTTTCTTTCTTTCTTTCTTTCTTTCTTTCTTTCTTTCTTTCTTTCTTTCTTTCTTTCTTTCTTTCTTTCTTTCTTTCTTTCTTTCTTTCTTTCTTTCTTTCTTTCTTTCTTTCTTTCTTTCTTTCTTTCTTTCTTTCTTTCTTTCTTTCTTTCTTTCTTTCTTTCTTTCTTTCTTTCTTTCTTTCTTTCTTTCTTTCTTTCTTTCTTTCTCTCTTTCTCTCTCTCTCTTTCTCTCTCTCTCTTTGCTCTCTTCTTCCTTGCTTTCTTCCGTGGGCTTTCTTCCTTGCGCCTCAATCTCTGAAACTTCTCCATTTATTCTTTCTTTACCCATTGTCTTCTTCCACCTAGTATTCTGCTCAAAGTTTCCCGGCCTTCACCCTCCTCCCTGCGCCTCTTCTCTACCGTTGACTATGCTTTACAATAGTGATGGACCGGGCCTAGGCCCGGCGGGATTTTTGGGTTTTGGGGGTAGGCCCGGAACCGGCCCGGTTATCCACCGGGGCCGGGCCTCGGGCCAATTCCTTTTTTTTATATAGTTTTCTAATTAACCCCCGACCCCCCCACCCCCCAAACCACCCCAAAACACCCGCCCAACCCGAGAAAATAAAAATAAATAGAAAAAACAAAAAAAGAAATTAAAAAAGCCCGAACTGAGCCCGGCTCGGGCCGGCCGGTTCCATATTTGGGTGACCCGAGCCTGCTCAATGTAACCTCCGGACCGGGCCTACCCGAACCGGGCTCTGGCGGGCCACCGGGCTGGGCTGTTTCCAAACACTGCCGGGTCGGGCGGCCCGGAACCAGTCCACCACTACTTTACGGCCAAATTGAAACTACAGATCTGGGAGTGGTCCGGAGGCTCACAGAGCACCGTCACCGACTTGCTGACCCAAAATCTTCAACGGAGCATCTTCCCCGGCTTCCAATCCATCGAATTGCTGAAAAGGGGACGATCGGCATGCGAAGTACTTCACCTCCCCTGCTTTGCTTGGGAGTAGAAAGAAGAAAGGGAGAGAAGGAAGAGTGGGTGGAAGGAGAATAAAGGTGGAAGAAAAGAAAGAGGGGAGGCGGAAGTTTGCTGGAATGAAATGGAAGGGGCCGGTGAAATGAGAGAGAAGTTGGGGAAATACGGAAAAAAGAAAGGAAAATGAAAATGAAAATGAAAAAAATTAAAATATTCATATGTTGCTGCCACGTGTACACAATATATAAATGGGTAACCTATTGGTTACCGGCTAAAAATAAGTTTTGACATTTTTAAATGAGTTCAGGGTTTAATTGAGTGAACTTTCATTACGAGGGCCTAAATGATTTTTTTTTGAAAAATTGGGGGGCTTATTTGATAGTTTTCTCAATAATTTAACTTTAAGCATGCACCTTTGAGAACACTATATATAGTTTTTCAAAGCAAAAACTTAAAAGTACCTTTTTGAAAGTAACATATTCTCTTTAGTCACTAAAAGGTTAAATATGAAATCCGTCTATATGAAAATAGTGTTTAAGTTCCGCCAATAAAAGCTTTCCCCACAAATTCACGTTGAAAGATAATTCAGTTATGGAAGGTGTACTACAAATTCACGTTGTCATTCTCGCCTGGCTGCCCAACAACCACACTCATCCAGCAACACCGCATTTCCGCTTCTGCCACTCCTCACGCGGCCACCGTCAGTTAATTTAAAATCGCAAATCCGACAGTAACACTTCCAAATCCGTTGTCTCCGTTGCAACTGTTATTACTGGCCTTGGAAACGCAAATTCTTAATAAGATCGATTTAGAAATAGGATTGGGGCCGGATCACTACGAGATTATAGAATTGGGCTAGAGTCACTAACTTTTGAGTCACTACCAATCTTTAAGGTGAAGAGGCAATTCAATATCTAAAGTGTAGCCACCGTCAACGACCTTAATTGTGGTCACAAATGCGTTAATGACTTCACCAAAGCCTAATTATTAAATCATAATACTAGTTTCTTCAAAAAAAAATCATAATACTAGTGATCACATCATAATTAACTCTTTTTAGCTGCAATGGATGAAAATAGATATTTTTAGTATAATTTTTTTTTATTTAATTTTATTAATAAAGTACTTCATCCGTCACTTAAAACTTTACTAACTCTCCTTTTTTTATTGTCTCATTAACTTTGTCACTTTCCATTTTGATAAAGAATTTGTAGTTTCGGCTAATTTCATAAATCTCAATCGCATAGTTTTTTTATTTGTCAATTCTTGTGTCATTCATACCTGGTCAAGTTATAAGGAAAGGAGGTATTTGGTATTTGGTATCACAATTTCAAAAATTCAATCAATTTTGGCACTGTAACTAAAATCTCATTAATGCGAATTTCAACTTTATCCCTACATGAAGCTGCCATAGTGCCATGTGCACCAGTTCGTATACTGTAGTATACGAGTGATTTAATTGAAGCTTCAGCCCAACTTCAATAAAATTTAATGAATCTGACAAAGGCCCACAAAAATAGTCCCAATAAAAAGACAGGCCATTTAACTAATACAGTCTAATTTTTTCGGTGACATTTTTGTAATTTAAGTGAAAAATCACAGTTTTTACTAAATGAGCAATAACGTACTTTTAGTGAACATCTGACCTATTGTATTGAGTATTATGAGGCTACCAATGAGTATCACGATCTCTACTTCATATCTCTAATTCTTTTTTTTTTGGTTTTTTCTTTTATAAAAACTTGTTAAATTATATCTATAATTCACTCATATTAATTTCAATATGCGAGGCTAACGTAATATGATACTTTTGAAATATGCGTTGATATGACATTTTAAAAATGAGCATAACATCAGTACCAAATGAGCATACATAACTTACAAAATGCACATTGATATGAAAATCTTAATGTTTGTTAGTTGAACATCACAACATTTTAATTGAGCATCAAACCTCCGTTATTGAGATGAAAATCACGGATTCTGGTGAATGAGTATTAATGAACTTTTAATGAGCATCAGACCTATTATGTTGAGTATTAGGAGTCTAATATTCAGAATTGTGATCTCTGCTTCATAACTTCTAATTCATTTTTTTGTTATTTTTTATTTTATAAAAACTTACTACGTATTAAATTATATTTATAATCAACTCCTATGAATTTCAATATGTGAATCTAATGTAAAATAGTAGTTTTAAAAAATGCATTGATATGACATTTAGAAAATGAGCATAAGATGAGTACCAAATGAGCACATGTAAATTAAAAAATGCGCATTGATGGAAATCATGATTTCTGTTAAATGAGCATTAGTGAATTTTTAATGAGAATCAAACCTATACAAATGAGCATATGTAACTCACAAGATGAGCATTGATATAAAAATTGTAAGTTTTGTTCGTTGAGCATCAAGACGTTTTTCACTGAGTATCGAACCTCCGTTATTGAGTATTAGAATCGTGCAATTGAGTATCATGATCTGTGGTCTCGTGTTTATAATCAAATTATATGTGAATCTAATGTAATATGAGATTTTTGAGATATGCGTTGATTTTTTATTTGAAATATGCATTGATATAACATTTTAAAATGAGCATAACAAAGGTACTAAATAAACACACATAACTTACCAAATGAGTTTTCAAACAATCAAAATCTCATTTGTGTATGTTCATTCTTTTTAGTCGCTTTACTTATTTGAAAAGAAATCAAACTAATTAACTCTAAAAGCAACGAAAAAATAAAATCAAAAAGATAAAACACAAAATGTAAAACAATAGCAGGAAAGACCAAAGAGAATGGCGGCTGGAAATGGGCATACCAGGGATGAGATAATCAAAAGGCTTAAAGTTGATATATATTACAAAAATACTGAGTATACATGTATAAATGTACCTTATAATTTGACATGTGCACCGTGCCTAGTCGGACATCTCCTGCTTCACATCAACTACCGACTCCGGCCCCTCCTTGACTGGGACCTACTTCTATTCAACTGATTCAGGAGGGAAGTAGAAGAGACTATACTGGTCTCGGGTTAAAATGGGAGCACTACAATTCTTGACTTCTCGGCCCATCTCATTCTTCCACAGCACTTCAGGTAACCTCTCTTCACACATTTCTTTCTAATTATGAAAGTATGTCTAGATTGATCTTTTCAAATGTTGTTTTAGTTCTTCAAATGTTGTTTTAGGTCATTGGGAATGAAAAATGTTTAGTCATTGCCTATCTCTACTAATTTAATTTCTTTTTCAGATACGCAAATGTATATACGTGGGCGGTAATATGTGGTTATGCTCGGAGTAAATAGGCTTTGTTGTGAATATGATACTCTGTGTACCGGATGTATAGTCAAAATTGGGTTTGTGAACGA